AATGACAGTCTACCCAGCCTTCCTTTTCCTGCCGTGTTTTAGTAACCGTGTTATAAAACTCAGTTACTCGTGTGGGGTCTGACTCAGGACCTGGTATAGGGCCTGGCTCCACCGTAATCAAATATAACATTACACTTACTCAAGAATTACCGACAATGCCTCTGTGGTAAGGGGATATTCTCCACACCTTTACTGAGCACTAGCGCGTGTCCTGCTCTTTACACACAACTTAAAGTCACAAGTGGGTTGCGTCCGGCACCCGTTTGCTAAGCGGGGGAGATTTTGCCCACGCCGTCCAAATTAGGGCAAACGCTGTAGCCACGCCGTCTAGGGCGGCCAGGGGTAGACCCGAGGCTTCTGGTCTCTGTGACGCTTGTCGGAAACCAGGAACCCTGGGCCACATATCCCAGGCCTGCCATAAGACACACGGGGCTCGGGTGAAACGTCACGACGACATCACCCGGTTCGTAGCTGGCCGATTGCGGCAAAGAGGCTTTGAGGTGGAGCGTGAGGTCCGTATACCAGACGGAGGGACCTTCTGCAAGCCAGATATTATAGCTTGCAAAGGTGATGAGGCCTTCATATTAGACACCCAGGTCTCAGCTGATAACTTCCCACTCTCCCGTCCACATCAGAGCAAGTGCGACAAATACGGCACCCCCGAGATCCTGCAGAAGGTCCGGGAGTATACCGGTAAGCCCACAGTATCCGCCTCCTCAATAACCCTTAATTGGAGAGGTGGATGGTGCAAGGAGAGTGCGCGTGGTCTACAAGGTATGGGTCTCACCAAGAGCGATCTCGAGATTTGCTCCGTGAAGGCCCTGACCTGGACATATTCGATATACAGAATATGGTCCAAGGCCACGTCAAGGGGCAGGCCCCCCTAGCCCCGGGGTCACTGTGCACAGGGTGCATAAGGGTAACTATAGTCACGCTTAGGTGAACCGCAGCCAAGTCAGCTGGTAGCCAACTATCTAAGCAGTTTCGTCATCTGGAGTACCACTTCTCCTAATGGCGTCTCACAAGAGGGTGGATGACCTGGCAGAGCCCGCGAGTAGATAAGGCGGCGTCCGGAGGGACCCCATGCGCATACATGATAACCCTCCCGCTCCGGGGCCGAGTTAGGAGCATCCACTGTGTCTAGTTTTCCATGTATGCCGATGTCAAATCATCATCCCTGCCGATTGGGCAGCCTGCTGCTTTGGCCTTCAGCGTTTGTTTGTTCTTTTTACATGTTATACTGTGCACCCCTACCTATGTGTGCTGTGTCCCATATAGAAAAAACCAAATACAAAAGAATTTCCATTAATATTTTTGTTATTTTCAGGTTATTATTATGTATTATTAGTATCATCTTAACTCTTGTGGGTGTGATGAGATCTGCCATATATGTTTATTTTAGTTTGTGTGTGTTAGGGTATTAGGTATGCTTGGGGGTCCGTCTCGCCATGCCCTGTGGCTGGGGGGATCGGGCTCCGAAGCTACATAAAAACCCTATACCCCCCCGAAGTGGCAAGGGGAGTTAGGGGACAAAAAAAAAAAATATCACTATTAACACGTTGTGTCTGCCGCAGGAACTGTGAGGCGCCATTGAGGGCGGGACCCCACACACACACACACACACACACACACACACACACACACACACACACACACACACACACACACACACACACACACACACACACACACACACACAGGCCACGTGTTGAGGTCGTGTGGGCGGGGCTGGCGATGGGTAAGGCACGTGCACAAACGTTTAGTGCCACGTGCAGGGGTGGTGAGTGCCACGTGCAGGGGTGGTGAGTGCCACGTGCAGGGGTGGTGAGTGCCACGTGCAGAGACGTTTAATACGACGTGGGGGGGGTAAGGAAGGAGCGTGTCTACATGCAGAGGAAGATGTGTACGAGGGTTTTGTCTACATGCAGAGGAAGATGTGTACGAGGGTTTGACTGACAAATCTTAACAGCTCCCCGCCAAACACACACCGAAACTACGACGTTGGTACAACGTTCCGAACAAGTTTTAACACCTCCTAACCAGTTATAACAACCAATATAACATAGCAAGTTGTAACAATGTTCTAATACGTCATAAACACGTTAAGCCAAGATGTAACAACTTTATTACAAGTTGTAACAAGCGGAAAATAAAGATAGTTACGGTTTGTGTTTCCAGGGTATCGGGCTATTAACTCACCTACTGTCCGGTCAAGTATTAAAAAAAGATAGTTATCAAATAATGTAAAAAAAATAATAATAAGTGTGATATATAAACTAACTTAAAACGTAAAGATTGTAATGTAAAAAATCAGAATAGTGTAATAAAAAGGTGAGATATTCACATTGCATCACATTAAATATCGTACTCACTGCTTGATACCTGCTTGATATACGCTATAAGGAACTATTGAAGAACTATAGAAGAATAGAAGAATAGAACTATAAGCTATTGATATATCACTATAAGGAACACACACACCTCTCCCTAGCCTATGAGAAGAGAGAGCATTCTCTATGACCCCTGAGAGTCGAGTATATCTTGGCGGTTAAAGCCATTTTATAAACCATTTATAAGCTGGTCTTTTAAGAACACTACACACCTACACACACACACACACACACACACACACACACACACACACACACACACACACACACACACACACACACACACACACACACACATATGGAATATAAACATGTAACTCCTGTTGATGCCTGGTCCGAGCTGCCCTACACTTCCTTATTTGTGTAGTAACGTACTCGTCAACTTTGCTTCTGATAACGCAACTTGGTATTGTTCCAGATATTGCTATCCAGGGATGCTTTCGGACGTAGGTTCGAATCCTCGTCACGGCCCTTGTGGATTTGTTCATTTGATGCATCACGCTATTGTGATTTCTGTGTGTATTGTTTCAGTTATTGTTTACTGGTAATATGTCCAAGTAACGTGTGCTGCAAACTTTAGCTGGCAATCAGCCCGTCGTTATTAACGGGCCAAATGCTCGTTAATTCACCCGCCAAACCCCCTGTTTATGAATGAAAAACGGTTTACACACGACTCACAACTGATGACGTTCGAACACTTCCGGAACAAGTGCTTCACTGGCGAATTTTGTTCGAACCACAACGCTGTAAATGCTTCACCCACGTACTACAAATACAAATAATCGCCAACAGAACCTAAACACCTAACCTAACCTATGCCTATATATGCACAATATGCTAGTATATTAAATATTAATTTATATTTAAGAAAATTCCCGTTTTGAATGAACAGCATGTAAAGGTTTATGAATGCGTCTGTGGGGGTCGACCGCTGGATGGAATGGACTTGAATCGAGGATGGGTTGTCGAACCACAACGCTGTAAATGCTTCACCCACGTACTACAAATACAAATAATCGCCAACAGAACCTAAACACCCAACCTAACTTATGCCTATATATGCACATATAATGCACAATATGCTAATATATTATAATATAAATTTATATTTAAGAAAATTCCCGTTTTGAATGAGCAAAATGTAACAAATTTATGAATGCGTCTGTGAGGGGTCGACCGCTGGATGGAATGGACTTGGTCTGAGGACGGAGCCGGTCGGCCGAGCGGACAGCACGCTGGACTTGTGATCCTGTGGTCCTGGGTTCGATCCCAGGCGCCGGCGAGAAACAATGGGCAGAGTTTCTTTCACCCTATGCCCCTGTTACCTAACAGTAAAATAGGTACCTGGGTGTTAGTCAGCTGTCACGGGCTGCTTCCTGGGGGTGGAGGCCTGGTCTAGGACCGGGCCGCGGGGACACTAAAAAAAAGCCCCGAAATCATCTCAAGATAACCTCAAGAAGGACGGGCGAGTAACATACATGTTCTGAACTGCCTTCTTGAGCTGTACTTATGTAAAGGAGAAAATGTATATGTTTATCTCTCAGAATGTTTGGTAATAAGTTTATTGCTTGTGATGTGTGTATATGTATGTATTAACACGATGAAGTGAACGAGGTGGGAATAGCTTGAGCTACCTCATCCCTTTGTGTGTATTTTACATCAATAAACTTATTTCAATTTCAATTTCTTGAGGTGTGTGTGACGTAGCTGTCATGTGTTTCAGGTATGGGCCAGCACAGCCTCCTGGGCAAGACCAGACGGCCCCGCACCGCCTTCACCTCCCAGCAGCTGCTCGAGCTGGAGAAGCACTTCAGGGAGAACAAGTACCTCTCCAGGCCCAAACGCTTCGAGGTGGCTACCAGCCTCATGCTCACAGAGACTCAGGTCAGTGCTGCACTTTTACTAGTTACTAGGCTACGCTCCTACCAAGTTGTGTCCAACCACTTGGGCTGGACGGTAGAGCGACGGTTTCCCTTCATGCAGGTCGGCGTCCAATCCCCCGACCGTCCAAGTGGTTGGACACCATTCCTTTCCTCCCGTCCCACCCCAAAGCCTTATCGTGACCCCCTTGCAAGTGCTATATAGTCGTAATGGCTTGGTGCTTTCTCTTGATAATTCCCTTACCTTCCCTAGCAAGTTACTAGTATAAATAACTTGGGTTAATAATGACACTAGGTTCACACACAGAGATCACACTAACGTGATGCTATGATGAATGAACAAGCTATGACCCTATGATCGACTGAGCTATGACCCTGTCGTAGCTCAGTCGATTAAGGCAGTGTCTGGGATGCTCCCGGACGCAGGTTCGAATCCTCGACACTAGGTTCTCTTCAAGTTATACAGGACGTCCATTAACACACTTTCGCTCAATATTATTGACTCAAAATTAGAGATAAATTACCTCACATTTCACTTACAATATTCAGTTTATATAGGGAAGGGAAGGGAACTATCAGGGGGAAAGTGCCAAGCCATCACGACTATATAGCACTGGAAAGGGGCCAGGAAAAGGATTTGGGATGGGACGGTGAGGAAGGAATGGTGTCCAACCACTTGGACGGTCGGGGATTGAACGCCGACCTGCATGAACTTTTTTTGGCAAAAGAGAACTCTTTTATATATTTTAGGACCCTTTATTTCCTGAGCTTAAACCTATAACCTCTTGTTCTCTTAGTTGCAGGTTTAAACAATTCTTCTTTGTCTATTGTGTCGATTCCTGCTACTATTTTGTATGTAATGATCATGTCTCCTCGTGTTCCTCCTGTGTTGTAGCCTTCTTATGTTTAACACCTCCAGCCTCTCTTCATAGCTCTTGTTCTCATGTTCCGGGAACCATTTACTTGCATGTCTTTGCACCATTTGTAACTTGTTATGTGCTTCTTGTAATATGTATCACTGCTACATATTACAATTTTGGTTTCACACATTGCCTGAACAGTTTAATATTTCTCCGTCCACACATTTAAACAGCGTTCTGAAATTTGATAGTGTAGCGCAGGCTACAATGCCCTTCACGTGGTGAAGCCTCACTATTCAGCCCACTATTACATCTCTCTCCCCCTTGTCACATGCCTCATTACATCCTATGCAGCGCAAAGGTTAAAATACTTCAAATACAAATACTTCTCCCCTTGTCAGTGATGTTTAATATCTTTTTATATAGTGTGTATGATAAGTGTGGCCTGTTCTTCCCTGTTCCGCATTCCATTGCTTTATATTTGTTTTCATTGAACTCCATCTGCCGTGTGTGGCTCTACTCATTTTGTCTAAGTTATTATAGAAGACAATAAACTCATCTAAATACTTGACTCTAACTAGCATCATCTGCAAACATATTCATGTGACTCTGTATCCCCTCTGGTAGGCCATTTATATATAGATAATGAACATTACCGGAGCAAGAACTGAACCCTGAGGTACTCCGCTAGTGACATTTCTCCAGTCGGATACATTTCTTCTGAATACTGCTAGCATTTGTTTGTTAGAAATTTCTTATCTAATTTCGAGGTCTGTTTGTCACCCCGTGAAAGTGTCCTAACCTCTAGAAGTCTCTTGTGTGGAACTCTATCAAAGGATTTTCTTAAGTCCAGGTATATGAAATCGCCCCAACCTTCCTTTCTTGCAATATGTCTGTGACTATCGGCAAAACTAAATAGATTTGATAAGCACGACCTTTCCTTTAGAAATCCAACTGTCTATCTGTTATCATATCAATACTTTCCATTTATTCTCTTCAATTGTTGTTAATAATTGTTCTAGTTCTTTTACAACTACGCTTGTCAATGATTAAGCAGTTCAGGGGTGTTCAGTTTCCACTCTTATAGACTGGAATTATGTTTACCATTTTCAATGTCATTTAGCTTCCCTGTTTGTAAGGCTGCTTGTAAGATAACCTGTTGTGGGGCGGTAAACTTTAATGCACATTTCCTTAAGTTTCATTTTACATTTATCTGCAATTCCCTTCCTAAAGTTTCTTCCTGTCTGTTTTGTCACTGTTGTGTAGTTAGTTTTCATTTGTTTGTAGTTTCAGTATGTTGTGGGTTGGGCCTCTTCCCATACCGCTTAAGCTGTGTTTGTTTGCAGGCGCTGAGTCACAATACCGTAGCTGAAGTATGTTGACCAGACCACACACACTAGAAGGTGAAGGGACGACGACGTTTCGGTCCGTCCTGGACCATTCTCAAGTCAATTGTGAGAATGGTCCAGGACGGACCGAAACGTCATCGTCCCTTCACCTTTTAGTGTGTGGTCTGGTCAACTGTGTGTGTTTCCTCTGGGCCCCTCTCTCGCAATTGTCTGTATTTGCTTCTCTGATTAGACATAAATGTTTGAGTGTCTTTCGCATACCTCGTGTTTATCTCCTTTCATAACGACAAACTATTCCAGTCAATCCCAACGAAGAATTCTCTTAGATTCCTATATTGTCCACTCTTTTAAGTTGACTATCTCTCTCTCTTCTCTTTCTCTATTATCTTCTATGTTACACCATATTGCGCCTTTTACTTATATTACTTGTAAGAGAGTATATGTGTGTGTGTGTGTATATATAATACATATATATATATATATATATATATATATATATATATAATATATATATATATATATATATATATATATATATATATATATATATATATATATATATATACATATATATATATATATATATATATATATATATATATATATATATATATATATATATATATATATTAGTCGTGTGTGTGTGTACTTTCGTATTAAGCAATACGAAAGGATCCTTCTAAAGATGTATTGATTAATACGAAAGTATACTTAAGGAATTTCCCGTCTTATTATCCTTCGTGGTCAAACAGTCACATCATTCATCATGTGCTAATTTCTTCGTGATTTACACAGGTTCTTATTCTTACATGAGAACCGAGAATGCAGGTTCTTAGTAAGAATATTCAGCATTAAATACAAAAATCTTATATCAGAGCATACAGATCAGTTATTAACTTGGAATGTTGTCCAGAATACACACCAGCGAGACACACATAATACATCATAATACAACATAATACAACTACAACTTTAGCTGAAATTTACATTCTGCCTCACTAATTCACCTCTGTATTTGAACTGTTCTGGATATTCATTTTTTTTGACCCTGCTAATGTGGAACATTCTCTCGGCAACAGGTAAAGATATGGTTCCAGAACCGGCGGATGAAGTGGAAGCGCAGCAAGAAGGCGATGTCGGAGAACCGCAAGGAACAGCGGCAGAAGGATGGAAAGGAAAACTCTAGCGGGAAAGAAGACCGGGGGAAGGACGGCTGCTCTACGGGCTCTGGGGCCACGGAGTCTCAGGAAGAGCCGATGGCCAATCAAGAGTCCGACGACGAGATCGACGTGCAAGAGGACACCGTAGGAGGCGACGAGGGGCCGGAAGCGAGGAACGACGAGCCTCTGTCCTCGCCAAGTCCTCCCACACAACTGTCGCAGCAGCAGCCGGCCGAGTCCTCGACGGCGTCTTCGCCCGACCCTCGTCGCTTCGACCCGCTCTACGACAGCATCCACGCCCACGCCGCGGCTATGTCCCACCTCCATGTTCCTACCCCGGTGGTGACTTCGTCAGGCGGGTCGTCGGTGTTCTCAGGGCAGTACCAACACGTGCCCCTCTCCGCTGCCATCCTCACCAAGCTCCCTCCTGACGCGGAACACCTCTACAGACCTTACGTCTCGTGAGACAGCTTCTTGCAGTCGTGAATCTTCAGCATCAGCGCCTCCGCGCCAACCAGTGTAGGCTGGCATCTTAGACAACACGAGCTCCACCCACCATTCCTGAGAGACATTATAACACATGACAAACACTCGAAGCTGTGTATTGTACATACAGTGAGGTAGTGTGTGCTGTGGAGTAAGCCAACTGTTGTGTAAGTGAAACAAAGCTGAACCTACAGCTTGGCCTGGCTGGCAAACATTCCTAAACAAAAAAAAATCACGCTCAAGCCTCAGCTTTTACCTAGCAAAAAAATAAAACAAAACAAAAAAATAAAAAAAATTCATGTATATACATCACAGACTTTTGGCGGAGTTTCACAATATCCTGAGAGGACTTGACTGAGACCTCCTCCTGCTCCTCCTCCTCCAGGAGCCTCAGGTGAGCCTCAGGTGAGCCACGAGGCACCCACCAGGCCCCGGATCTCACCTCACCTGGCTGGCCAACCCCCCCAACCCCAAGAACCCCCCCACCCCCCCAACTTTCCCATCTACTGTCTCGTAAGTCCTGCATGGTGACACGCCCGTAAGTTCTGGCTGTAAGTAGTATGTAGCCACGCCGCTTTACGCATATATATATATTCGTCTCCAGAGGGCGTATATACACACGTGGCTCCACCTCCCACACACCTGTGCTGGTCAGCGATGCTCTCTCCACAACAACAACAGCTCCATCCTCACTTCAAAACAATTCCTCATCGTGTTATTGTCTTTGTTTTGTATATTAACATGTACTAATCACTCATCTCATATCATCAAATCAAGAATTTGTCTTAAAACAGATGTTTGCCGAAATGATCTTTTTTTAATATTGAAAGGATATTCAGTCTTGGGTTTTATAATTCTGTGGTTTATTTATTAGCCGGTGATCCTTCTCATGCAGCATGCTGTCTCGGTACTGTGACCTGGTACCGTGACCCGGTACGGTGACCCAGTACGGTGACCTGGTACTGTGACCCGGTACCGTGACCTAGTACGGTGACCTGGTACCGTGACCCAGTACGGTGACCTGGTACCGTGGCCCAGTACGGTGACCTGGTACGGTGACCTGGTACGGTGACACAGTACGGTGACCTGGTACCGTGACACAGTACGGTGACCTGGTACCGTGACACAGTACGGTGACCTCGTACCGTGACACAGTACGGTGACCTGGTACCGTGACCCAGTACGGTGACCCGGTACCGTGACCCAGTACGGTGACCCAGTACGGTGACCTGGTACCGTGACACAGTTCGGTGACCTGGTACCGTGACACAGTACGGTGACCTGGTACAGTGACACAGTACGGTGACCTGGTACCGTGACCCAGTACGGTGACCCTGTACCGTGAACCAGTACAATGGGAACCAATAGAAGGATAAAGACCAGGTACTTATATGAATATGTTCATTTTCTATAATACATTCGACGTGTGTTAAGGAATCACCAAGTTACGATTCACCACTGTAACTTATCGGGGTTCCTTGTTACAAGTGGGCCACGGGTGGCTCGGCCTGGCCACTAACTTCACAAGTGGGCCACGGGTGGCCCGGCCTGGCCACTAACTTTCCAAGTGGGCCACGGGTGGCCCGGCCTAGCCACTAACTTCACAAGTGGGCCACGGGTGGCCCGGCCTGGCCACTAACTTTCCAAGTGGGCCACGGGTGGCCCGGCCTGGCCACTAACTTTCCAAGTGGGCCACGGGTGGCCCGGCCTAGCCACTAACTTCACAAGTGGGCCACGGGTGGCCCGGCCTGGCCACTAACTTCACAAGTGGGCCACGGGTGGCCCGGCCTGGCCGCTAACTTCACAAGTGGGCCACGGGTGGCCCGGCCTGGCCACTAACTTCACCCGCGGCCCACGGGTGGCCCGGCCTGGCCACTAACTTCACAAGTGGGCCACGGGTGGCCCGGCCTGGCCACTAACTTCACAAGTGGGCCACGGGTGGCCCGGCCTGGCCACTAACTTCACAAGTGGGCCACGGGTGGCCCGGCCTGGCCACTAACTTCACCCGCGGCCCACGGGTGGCCCGGCCTGGCCCACTCTTGTTCCCGGGAGTGTCTCCACGGCCACTCCTTCACCCAAAATATAACTTAGATATTGTTACTTAGGCACAACCCCATTTCTTCTTAACCCTTCAGCCTCTTAAGATTAATAAACTTAAAAATCTTGACCTGCTTTGTTTTATTGTTGTTATCCTGCGTAAAGATATCTTCACTGCTGGAGGAGAGATAACAGCTACAGATCTCAAGACAAAATACTGTAGTGAAGCGCAAATATGTCTATGAAACCTGCAGTGTCAGAGAGGACGGTCAATTCATTGTTTACATGTACAAGATGAATATGTACTGAGTTACATAATGAAATCTCATTAACGTGATGCATCAATTGGAGCAATGAGGAGAGCAGCCAGGTCGAGGGTTCGAATCCCACCCTCCTACCCTTTGCTCCAACTGATTTTCTCATATATTAAAATCAAACTGTCCGTAATTTTCACTTACTGGTAAAAATAGTCATTTGGACACAAAGATATATAACGAAGGCAAGAAAATAACAACATTTACCCTGACTCACGATTAATTATTTAAAATATGGAACATATACAACTAGGCCTGGTCGAGGACCGGGCCGCGGGGACCACGAGCCCCGAAATCATCGCAAGGTAGGCCTAGCCCAGCAAGTTCACTCGCCCTGTCCATTCATGTAGTAAACTTATAAGTATGTAGTAAAATATAAGTTTGAAACCTTATATTTTATCTCTCTGTAAAGCACCGGTTTTGTAATGAATAAAAAATATTAAAAGTGTTCAAGAATTAATTAATCAATGAATTAACCCTTGCCACAGCGGCCAAAGCCTATGTCATGGGGCTTTGGACATAGCCCCATGACCTATGTCCAAAGTTGGGGCTACCGTCACCCGAATTTGCAGGGGGAATGGTCTGTGGTACGGCACGGACATAGCTGATCGGGGTAGGCCCGAGTTAAATGCTATAAGAAATATAACCTATAACCCACACCACCTGTTTGCGAGTTTCACAAACGGAGAAATGAAATCGGGGAAGTGCGGTACGTAGAGTTTTAGGTTACTCCCGCCGTTTACCCGCGCATGTGTTTATTTTCTCTATATAAATGGAAATGTCTATCTGTTCATGGTTGGAGGGCAGGGAGCTGACGGGTAGGGGGGTAGGGAGATAAGGGGAAGAGGGGAATGGTAGGGAGGAGAGGGGAAGGGAGAAGGGGGAACAGGAAAAAGGGGGAATGCAGATGGGGAAAGAGAGGGGGGACATGTGGAAAAGGGAAAAAACTAGAGGGGTGGAATGGGGCATGGTGGGAGAGAGAGAGACACTATCCCGGGCACCACTGGGTATACCCCTCCTAAGAATACTATAAACATTTGAACACACGTACTTAACCAGGCTGTAAACCTAATTATCCATTCACAAATATATGTCAAGTGATTGTTACATCACCACGACACTGGTGACACAGCTCAATACTGTGTCATACATAATTGGACACGTAATACATAGTCAGGCAGAACAGTGTCTTGAAGTAGAGGAGGAAGGGGGGGGGGAGGGCTCCGTGGCCTCTCCCTCTCCTCTACCTTGAGGTGCTTCCGGGGCTTAGCGTCCCCGGGGCCCGGTCCTTGACCAGGCCTCATGCCAGCTCCTTGCCAGCCTCGCTACTTCTACTGACCGCTTCTGTACCTCCGCCTTACAACACCCACCGCGGTTTTTAGCCCTGTCTGTCTGTCTGTCTGTCTGTCTGTCTGTCTGTCAGTCTGTCTGTCTGTCTGTCTGTCTGTCTCTCGTTATTTCATAAAGCAGATGATCTTGTAATGAATGTGTGTGTGTGTGTGTACTCACCTATTTGTGCTTGCGGGGGTTGAGCTTTGGCTCTTTGGTCCCGCCTCTCAACTGTCAATCAACTGGTGTACAGATTCCTGAGCCTACTGGGCTCTATCATATCTACATTTAAAACTGTGTATGGAGTCAGCCTCCACCACATCACTGCCTAATGCATTCCATCCGTTAACTACTCTGACACTGAAAAAGTTCCTTCTAACGTCTCTGTGGCTCATGTGGGTACTCAGTTTCCACCTGTGTCCCCTTGTTCGCGTCCCACCAGTGTTGAATAGTTTATCCTTGTTTACCCGGTCGATTCCTCTGAGGATTTTGTAGGTTGTGATCATGTTTCCCCTTACTCTTCTGTCTTCCAGTGTCGTAAGGTACATTTCCCGCAGCCTTTCCTCGTAACTCATGCCTCTTAGTTCTGGGACTAGTCTAGTGGCATACCTTTGGACTTTTTCCAGCTTCGTCTTGTGCTTGACAAGGTACGGGCTCCATGCTGGGGCCGCATACTCCAGGATTGGTCTTACATATGTGGTGTACAAGATTCTGAATGATTCCTTACACAGGTTCCTGAACGCTGTTCTGATGTTAGCCAGCCTCGCATATGTCGCAGACGTTATTCTTTTTATGTGGGCTTCAGGAGACAGGTTTGGTGTGATATCAACTCCTAGATCTTTCTCTCTGTTCGTTTCATTAAGTACTTCATCTCCTATTCTGTATCCTGTGTTTGGCCTCCTATTTCCACCACCTAGTTTCATTACTTTGCATTTACTCGGGTTGAACTTCAACAGCCATTTGTTGGACCATTCACTCAGTCTGTCTAGGTCATCTTGTAGCCTCCTACTATCGTCCTCAGTTTCAATCCTCCTCATAATTTTTGCATCATCGGCATATCGGTGTGTGTGTGTGTGTGTGTGTGTGTGTGTGTGTGTGTGTGTGTGTGTGTGTGTGTGTGTGTGTGTGTGTGTGTGTGTGTGTGTGTGTGCGTGCGTGCGTGTGGGTGTGTGTATGTGCGTGTGTGTGTGTGTGTGTGTGTGTGTGTGTGTGTGTGTGTGTGTGTTACCGTGTGTGTGTGTGTGTGTGTGTGTGTGTGTGTGTGTGTGTGTGTGTGTGTGTGTGTGTGTGTGTGTGTGTGTGTGTGTGTGTGCGTACGTGCGTGTGTGTGTGTGGGGGGGGGGGGAGTGACTGAAGGCTGGTGACACCAGCTTGTTTAACTTGACTCCTTTTGTGTTTGGAGCCTTGATATGAAGTGTTTTTCCTATCTGCCGCCGCGTGTTTGCTATTCACAATGGAAATCATTCCTGTCTTGTCCGTAAAAGGTCTCTTATCCCCCTACACCGTGCGTGTGCGTGTGTGTGTGTGTGTGTGTGTGTGTGTGTGTGTGTGTGTGTGTGTACTCACCTAGTTGTACTCACCTAGTTGTGTCTGCAGGATCGAGCATTGACTCTTGGATCCCGCCTTTCGAGCATCGGTTGTTGTGTGTGTGTGTGCGTGTGTGTGTGTGTGTGTGTGTGTGTGTGTGTGTGTGTGTGTGTGTGTGTGTGTGTGTGTGTGTGTGTGTGTGTGTGTGTGTGTGTGCATTCTTCAACCTGCATGAGAGATGACACAAATACTAATTGCAGTTAGCGAGAAAGGAATATAACAGGGAACTAGTAGTACAGAACGTTCTCGGTGGTACAGTCGGGTGTGATCTGAACTCATAAACGGGGAATCCTGGGTTAGAATCCCCAGCGGAATAGAAATATGGTTGCTGGGCACGTTTCCTCTCACCGAATGCCGCTGTTCACCCTAGCAGTAAATAGGTTTCCCCGGGAGTTAGCAAACTGTTGTGGGATGGCATCCTGAGCAAGGTCTGTATTTAGGGGGGAACCTCGATATAAAGGATATTGAGCAAATTGGATATATGCAGGCGATGAGTCACAATAACGTGGCTGAAGTATGTTGACCAAACCACACACTAGAAATTGAAGGGACGACGACGTTTCGGTCCGTCCTGGACCATTCTCAAGTCGATTGTGAAATCGACTCAAGTCAAGTCGAAACGTCGTCGTCCCTTCAATTTCTAGTGTGTGGTCTGGTCAACATAATTGGATATAAATTGATATTGATCAATAAAAGAAATAATAAACCTCGATATTGCCCTTTCAAGAATGTGATCAAGTGTAGGGAAGAAGCTGGTATAATGGAACATGGTAAGGTAATTATGAGGAGAAAGCGCTAAGCCAGTATGGCTATAGTCATATTGGCTTAGCGCTTATATCACTATATATCACTTGGTGTTTATATCACACTATATCACTATAAGCTCTTTGGCCCCACCAGGATTCGGATCTGGAAGGCCAGAGGAGTCACCTCACTGGCTAGCCAGCAAATTCCACTCCACCATCGGTGGCGTATGAATGGCAGAGGAGTCCACATTTACGGGTTATTCTTGCCCGTGCCACCTCTTGGGTGGCTTGATCTTCATCAATCAATCAATCGGAGCCCCACGGGAGGCATCTCCCGTCACGCAGGGTGCAGTCGCACCTCCACAGATCTCCAGTATCATCTATTGATACTGGTTTTGGCTCAAAAGGGCCACCACTTACGGGCTATTCATGCCCGTGCCACCTTTTGGGTGGCTTAATCTTTATCAATCAATCAATCAATCGGAGCCCACACACCATCAACCACCCGCTCCTCTGACTGATCAGTACAATCAAGCAGTAATGAACCTAACAGATAGCCGGGCCAGCGACGAGGAAGGGAAGGGAACTATCAGGGGGGTAAGCGCCAAGCCCTTACGAGTATATAGCACTTGGAAGGGGCCAGGATAGGGATTAGGGATGGGACAGGGGGAAAGAAATGGTGCCCAACCACTTGGACGGTCGGGAATCGAACGCCGACCTGCATGAAGCGAGCCCGTCGCTCTACCGTCCAGCCCAAGTGGTTGCAGCAACGAGGAGTGACTTAGAAGATGGCCACAGTAGCAACAAAGGTACCCCACACCACAAGCAACAATTCTTCAGTGTTCGTTGAGAAGTTGTCAACACCCAGGGCGGGGTGAAATGTTTGGTTAAGGTCTAAGCATCACACGCTGCTCTTTCTTGAGGAGCGCAGCTCAGACGGAACCAAGCCCAAGACTATACTGGAAAATACACAACACTACAACACCAAGAAAGTACATACGAATGTCGATTAAGGCAGCGCCTTGGAATCACAAACCGAAACTGTCTCTATTTTCCGCTTGTTACAACTAGTAATAAAGTTGTTACATCTTGGCTTAACGTGTTTATGACGTATTAGAACGTTGTAACAACTTGCTATATTGGTTGTTATAACT